CCTGTCGCTTGCGGGCAAGCCGGCGTTAGCGGGACTGCTTGTCTTGGAAACACGAATTGCAACCTGCTTGCCGCCAAATTGCGCTGCAGCGAAGACAAGGTTTAGTAAACGTTTGGCAAAACGCTGCCATAACAATGAAACAGTTTCATTAACGTTTAAAAAAGAACTTGGTGAAAAAGGCAAGTGGCCCTTGTCCGGAGGGTCATAGGCCAGCAGGTCATCATCCTGTTCCAGAAGTGAGGTATGTGAGTTGCAGAAGTCATGAGGGTTGGTAGCTGCCTCTCAGGCTTGCTGTTCAAAGAGGTCATGCATGGAGGGTGATGGTGTGGTGGTGAGAGGCCCTGATGGAGTGATGGAGGTTGAAGGTCCTGTGTGTGTTAGTGTACCACTGCAGTGTGAGGCTGGTGTGTTTGTGGTGGGTGGCAGAGGCTGCACTTGCTCCAAAGGTCTGTGCCACAGCTTCTTGGGGCAGTGCTCCATGGCCCACTGAGGAATGGATCTCAAGGTGGAGCTGCACCTGGTTCATTCACAGAGGGCAACTCCTATACACAGTCACACATTATAACAGTCATGCCCAATTATCAAAGCATACAAATGAATGCTGTACCAGAGCTGGAAATGTTACAGAACACACACCATTGCCTTCATTGCTGTTGTCATCATTGCTGGTTCTGCCAGCCAAGTTGTTGGACCCAATCTCCAATGCATCACCAGACTCTTCATCCTCACTCAGACTGATCATGACATGCCTCCAATAATTCTTATTTTGTGCAGGCCATGTTGGCACAGGAGTAGATAATGGTGGCTGTGTTGACAAACCAAATCTAATTCAAAGGTGACAATGAAAACAATGGTGGCACCTGGTATGCAAATTGGGAGTCAGGTGTGATAACTATTTTCTTGAACTTGCCAAGACCATGGCAGAGCACCACCTGTGGGCAAAGTGCTCAGCAAAAAAAGGGAGAATGTGGGCAGCCAGGAAGGCCTGTAGCTGCATGCTAAGTAGCCCCAACATGGATAGCTGCTTGAGTTGGCTAGGGATGGCCAGGAGGTCTGATGTGGTATTTGGGAGGGTATGAAATTGTGGTGCCACAATTTCAGGCATAAAGATAAAAACACAGTGCTCATTAAAAAGTGACAGTGGCACTTTTCAACAAAATAAAAAAGTGGTGTACATAAAACACAAAATGGTTTCAAGGAAGTGTACACAGGAGGAAGGACAAGTTTTTATTTTACAGGTGTCTGAAGATCTCTTGGAGTGTCACTGGTGGGACTCCAGTGTTTGGATGGAAGGTGAAGCCACATGCCAGAACAGACCCCATTGGGACAGTTCCCTCAGTGCCATGGTCAGCCCAGCGCCCATTCACCAGTGGCTGTTGAGCCTCTTTCAAAGGACACTGATGATCCTTCCAATCCAAAGTCCTGGGTGTCCTCATCTGAATCAGCACACACAGCAACCCACAGACCAGGAGCAAAGTTGAAGCATTGAACATCAGGAGAGGCGTGAGACTGAACAAGTCTGACCCAGGTCTGTAGGCAGAAGAGATGACCATCAAGGAGGTAGTGATGGGGTGAGCTGTGAGACCATGATTGCCCTTGCAAGAACCAGCACCTGTGGGGTGATGAAGAATGTGATCAATGCTCTCCAGCAAGCTTTCAGCAAGCAAGTTGGTGCCAACAAGCAGGCATCTCTTCAGTTACTCAATGCTCTTGCAGCTAAACAGGGCGTTTCCACAACTAGGGAGGAGAAGCACAAGGAGGGGAGGTGTGACAATGAGAGGAGAGGAGTGAGGAGGAGAAGGCAAGGAGGGGAGGTATGATCAACCAATTGAGGATGAGGTGGAGGAGCCAGAGGTCCACAACTACAAACAAGGCCACATGGAGGACAAATGTCATCATGCAGCCAAGATGCTGGCCCTGTCTGAAGGTGACCTTGGTATGTACATCTCTGTTTCTGTTCAGTGTTCATCAAGTTGACAAATACAAATTCCAATGTGCATTGGTAGTTTTATGAGCAAGATGGAGAGGGGGGGCACACAGCTAAACACCCTAGAACCTACACCAATGAACAGAAGAAGAAGAAGAAAAAGAGCACTTTGTGCTGCAAGGAGCAAAAAATTTGCCCATTTTGAGGAGATTGAACATCAAGGCAGCAGAGGAGGTTGCACCCCATCTTCCTGTGTTAAGCAAGACCTACTTCATCTACACAGTACCACCCCTTTTGCCTTTTTATTTAATGAGTAACTGATTATTGTATTTTTAGATGTTGTATGGTAAGTGTAATGTCAAGAACCTCAAGAAGCCAGAGGTCTGTCCAACCTGTGAAGCAGCTTGGAGGACAGACTTGACCCTTTTGTCCCTGTCACCAACTAAAGTGGGGCCCCCCACTTTATGCCCATCCAAAATTTTGTACCCTCCCAAATGTGTGTTGGAAGGTTCACCTTCCCACAAAATTTTACATGCTTTGCCTTTCCCCCCCTCTGCCCTGTTGGTGGCTTGCCCCTCTGCCCCATTGATTGTGCCAGGAATGGCAAGAATGCAAGAATATCATCAAAAACAATGTTTTATTTGGACTTGGCTGAAAACTGAGCGAACAAGAGCAGAAAGAGCTAGATTTTACTGAAAAAATGAAAACCAGATGAATTTTCAAGTGTGCCCCACCCTTGCTAAAGGAGAGGGAGAGAAGCGGCAAGTTGTCTGTGCTGCTGGCGACCAACCACGGTGCCTTGCGTTGGTTACAGCGCGGCTGGTCTTCTCGTGGCAGTGTCCCCTCACTTTCTTTGCCCGTCGGGGCAATTTGCGAAGAATGGCGCCTGGCGTGTGGCCAAAGAAATTGAGGTGCAAAGGTCGTCTAGCGCCTGCCATCGCCAGCGACGTTGGGGCAGGCAGCGGTGCGATTTTCGTCCGCTACTCGGCCGTCGCTCGCTGGGCGGTGAGTGCATTCGCTTTCAATCGACCCCCCCCTCCTTGGCCTCGGCTATAAAAGCGGGAGAGCCGGCGCACGGCCACACTCCCCGTACGCATGGACACCATCCAGCAGGTTCAGCAAACCCTTCAGGCAGGCCAGCAGCCACCCATCACCACCACCACCACCACCACACTACCGCCCAAGCAGCCCATCACCGTCACCACCGCGCAGTCGGACATGAGCAGAGCGACCGGAGGAGGCCAGGCCATCATCGAGGAGTTCACCCTCGAGCGGAGGCGCGAGGAGATCGTGAGCGAAGGCGGCGGCGGCTATCGCTCCCTGGACGAGCTCGACCGCGAGCGAGAGCGGAAGCGGCAGGAGCTCTACCTTGAGGAGCGCCAGCGCGAGAAGGGCGGCGCCGGGGCTGGCCGGATCGAGATCTTCGACGAGAGGCAGCAGCAGCAGCAGCAGCAGCAGCAGCAGCAGGGCAGTACGGGCGGCGGCATGGTCGGCGCGGGCTACAAGTCGCTGGAGGAGCTCGACCGGGAGCGAGAGCGGAAGCGGCAGGAGCTCTACCTCGAGGAGAAGCAGCGCGAGAAGGGCGGCGCCGGCGCCCTCGGGGCCGACCGGATCGAGGTCATCGACGAGAAGGACCTGAAGACCACCGGCGTCATGGCCCACCCGGCCCGTGCGACCGCGACCGGGCTGCGCTCCCTGCTGCCGACCTGGTCGTCGACCACGGGGGCAGCCGCCAGGCCGGCGTCGGAGGCCGACCAGCGCCTGCAGCACGCGGCCAAGGAGATGAGCGAGGCCCTCGTGCTCAAGGCCGGCGAGCTCAAGGACAGCGCCGTCCACATGACCAGCTCCCTGGGCAAGAAGTACAGCACCTACCTGCCTGGTACGCCCGCCCGCCCGCCCGCCCGCCCAGCTGACAGTGAGTGCCCAGTGTGCTCTCCACCAGTCGACGAAGTGGTGCCTCACCCTTCGTGTTGTGTGTGTGTGTGTGCAGCGCGCTTCAGCAAGGCTTACGGGGCAGGGATGACGGAGTGGGAGCGGTACGGGAGGAAGATGGACGATGCCAACAGGCTCCTGGTCAAGGCGGAGCGGATAAGCAACGAGGCCAAGAACGCGCCGCCCAGCAGGTGCGCGGCCTCTTCACCACCCACCACCCACCATCACCACCAGCATCTGGGAAATCGAGTGATGAGTGCGATACTCACCACACCGGGGGGGGGGTTGATGGCCTGATGCAGGGCGGCGGAGCTGTACCTGAAGGCCAACAAGAGCCGGCAGAAGGCGCTCCAAAAGGCGATGGCAGCGCAGGAGCTGGCGGGCCAGATGAAGCGCGCCATCGACGACAAGCTCTACCAGATCCAGCGAGGCCTGCCCCTGCAGCGCGACATCTGGGAACTGTACGGGGCCACCCGGCTGCGCGCCCAAGAGCTCCTCGACCGGGCCGAGGCCCTCCAGCGCGAGTCGAACGCCACCACAGGTTCGCGGCCGAACCCCCCTTTTTGAGTGGCCCTTGACTCAGTGAAGTGATTGGGGAAGACCGAGGGCCTCTTACCTTCTGTCTAACGTGGCGCGGGTGGATCAGACAAGACGAAGGCGGCTGAGTTGCGCAACGACTCGATCCACGTCCGCAAGAAGGCCATCAGGAAGGCTCGGAAGGCGCAGAAGTTCGCCGAGGAGATCCAAAGACAGAGCGAGCTGAGGGTGGAGGAGCTGAAGCAGAGGTCAATGGGCAGCACCTCCCTCGGTACGCACCCGCCCTGTCGCGGACTCGGCGAGCTCGGCTGTTCATCGCCACCTTTCATTATTCCTTCACCCAGGGAGCGGAACTAGCGGCACCAGCAGCGGGGCCAGCTACTAGGGCGGTTTGGGAGAGAGACGAGCGCAGAGACCCAGGGCAACGCACCGGCTGGCCGCAGGCCTGGACTACAAGAAGCACAATAAAGGGGGCAAGGTGGGAATGATTGATTTACTACTTACAAAAAAAGGGCCGGCCGGTCGCATTCAGAAGTGGGTGGCCTTCAGCTTCTTCTCCAACGCCGCCTTGGTGAGGGCCGCCTCTCGTCGGAAATCCTCGATCCTTCGCTCCGTGTGCTGGGCGAGAAGCTCGATGCAGACGTCGCACACCTGCTGCAGGTACTGCTCCACCGTAATTTGGTCGTCGAGTGCGATCTTGTCAGTAGCACGCGTCAAGATTACCTTCGGATCTTCGACCAGCGCCATGGTGAGGGATTGTGCTGCTTGTGGTCTTCACGGAGGCTCTTGTGCGCTTGCTGTTGGATTTGATTTTTGGCGCGAAACACTTTTTTGGCGGGAAGAAAAGAAACAACAAAGTTTGGGCTTGCGAAAAGTGTTTTGCGAAAAGGAACAAACCAGACTCACTGTTTGCGGTATTTGCCCTGCAGGAAGAGGCGGTTGAGGTCCACCTGCTGCTTCCTGTTGGTCACCACCCGTTGGCAGTAGTCGTTTTCGTCGAGGGCGAACCCCATCTCACCCCATAGTTCGGCCGTGAACTCTAAAACGCACACAGGCACAAACGCGTCAGTGAGCGCAGCGAGAGTGAACACGGGTTAGCACAGTGTCTGGCCAGACGCACCCTTGGAGAAGTAGTAGGCTCGTGTGCCGTCCCCTCGCACGTGGAAGTTGAGGCCCAGTTTCTTTTGCCCCTCCACCTTCTCGAAGCGCTTTTGGGCCATGTCGCCAACGGCGTAGTCCCTAATTGACGATACCGCGGTGGCGGGTGTGAGACGATGAGAAACCACAGACGCCTCAGCTGCAAAAGCGCGCACCTAAACAGGACCACGCCTCCAGGTTTGAGAATCTAGAACGAAGAGAAAGTGATGAGACATGTAACCAATCCTGCTGAAGGGGCTGGGTGGAGAGCTTACGCGTGCGATGTTGCGGACGACGTTGGCCATTCTCTCTGAACAAACCAACAAATGAATAACGAAACCCAATGTAACGTAAGCAAGCAGAACAATGGCCATACCTGGTGAGATGGCGGACAAAACGAAGATCATGGTGACCAAGTCAACAGAGTTGTCTTTGATCTGACTCGGCCAAGCGGAGTCCTCCGTGATGTCGCAGACGAACGCCTGACATCTCGATTCATCGTACTCGGGATTGCTCTGGACAAACAAACGCGCATTTGCTCCTAAGTGCATGTCGGCCGACAAACAGAAATCAGGCCGGCTGACGGGTTGTCAGGGTGAATGGATGGGTACCTTGACGAGCTCTATGGCAGACGGCGCGAAATCGAGCCCGTAGAAGAACAGGTGCGCGTTCTCCTTGAGCAGAGGGAATATCGTGTTTCCGACCCCGCACCCCAGCTCGACCACCACCTTCTGCCCCTGGCACCATAGCTATGATGTCGGCACAACACACACACACAACACACGCAGCACACACACACACGACACACACGCAACGATAGTGAGGAGGGCTCCCCTATACGCACTCCTTCCTTGTCGGCCAGCGCAGGAAACTCTCGCGTGAGCCAGTGCCGATCCTTGAAGAAGTTGGCCTTGTTGTTCCTATGGGTGGTGCCGCGCCAGTTGGTGGCATTAATTAAGGGGAGGCACGACTACTCAACAAGAGCGCATGAAGACGAGGGCTGCGGAGGCGGTACTGGTAGAACCCGTGCCAGTAGGAAGCAGCCTTCTTGTCGTATTGCTCTGTTATATCAACATCGCACAGATGGAGGGAGGAGGCACCGGGCCGTGTGAGCGCGCAATGGGTGGATACGAAAGCGCCACCAAAGGACTGTGCCTACACGTACCAACCTGACGAAACCATGGACGTGCCGCCACAGAGTATAGAAATGGTTTGCTTCACGGCCCACTGAGAAAGAAGGTGAGGTACGTACCTTGTAGGCCGGCAACTCCTGGTAAGATGATTAATAAGTCACATGGTAATACAAGTCGCAGCAAAATGCAGAGGACAAAGGTGGAAAGGTACAGGGGCGTCGGCAGGGATGTAGCCGTAGAAGCCAAGCGTGTAAGGGGCGTAGCGGGCCACGTATTTGGGCACACTCCGATCTTCATCTTCGTCTTCGGCAATCGTCTGCACTTTCCTGCCGCTATTTACCACCTTACCACCCGCCTTCACCCGATCATTTCGTATAACTTCCGTCCGTCCCTCCTCCATTGTGTTTTTTGTTTTGAGCTGTTGATTTTCTCTTTTATTTTCATTTTCATTTTTAGTGCAGCCTATTTTCATGCACATTTCCCACACCATTTTCTCGGTTCACACCCGCGTCACCAATCTTGTGTCCATCTCCATTGCCGGCTGAGCTGTTCAAGAGAATGTTTGGCGACATGTTTGCCAATTTGAAGCGCATGCGTGCGCGACAGATTTTGCTCCAGGTCATTTCATTCGGCCTCATCGTGTCATCGGCGCTCATGATATGGAAGACTCTCATGGTTGTGACCGGAAGCGAAAGCCCCATTGTCGTTGTTCTCAGGTAACTCCTCCACCCCCATCTCTCATTTCAATTCTGGGGGCAGTGGAGCCTCTGCGCACACCGTGCGTGGGTGTGGCGCTCTCTGTTTTCAATTCTGCGCCCGTGTAGTTGCTGTTCACCTCGCAGTTCTGTGTCACCTCTCCACCTCGCCACCACGTGCAGCGGAAGCATGGAGCCAGCGTTCCATCGCGGCGACCTTCTCTTCCTCTACATGTCCGAGTCTCCCATTCGGGTGGGCGAGATCGTGGTCTTCAAGCTGGACGGGCGGGACATACCAATCGTCCATCGAGTACTCAAAGTACACGAACGGTGCGCACACTCGCCACTCGCCACTCGCCACTCGCCACTCGCCACTCGCCACTCGCCACTCGCCACTCGCCACTCGCCACTCGCCACTCGCCACTCGCCACTCGCCACTCGCCACTCGCCACTCGCCACTCGCCACTCGCCACTCGCCACTCGCCACTCGCCACTCGCCACTCGCCACTCGCCACTCGCCACTCGCCACTCGCCACTCGCCACTCGCCACTCGCCACTCGCCACTCGCCACTCGCCACTCGCCACTCGCCACTCGCCACTCGCCACTCGCCACTCGCCGACCCCACCAGCGCACGCGTTGCATTGCTGGAATTGCGGGATTGCGTGTGGCGCCCGCTGCGCTCTGGGGGCTCAATCCCCATCACGCCGCGGCGCGCCTTAGCGACGGATGGCTGGTCTCTCTGCCGCACGTGGCCTTCTCTCACTTCCTCCCCCCCCCCGCCTCCAACACACTCAGGCCGGACGGGGAGGTCGATCTGCTCACGAAGGGTGACAACAACCCGGTGGACGACCGTGGGCTCTACCCGCCTGGCCAGCTGTGGCTCAACGAGCGCCACATCATCGGCAGAGCCAAGGGGTACGCACCAACCACTCTGCACCCGATTGGGTTTGTTGGTTTGTTGGTTTGTTGTTTGCTGGTTGGCCACCACGCCTCGGCGGTTCCTTCATTTCCTTGGGGCTGCCCTCCATGCTCACCACCATTCTCCTGCATCAGGTTCCTGCCCTACGTCGGGATGGTGACCATCGTCATGAACGACTACCCGTACCTCAAGTTCCTGCTCATCGGCGTGCTTGGACTCTTCGTCCTGTCCAACCGCGAGTGATCGTCCTCGGCATCATCACCATCACCATCATCATCATGGCTGCGCACCACCGCACATCCTCGCGGTTGTCAATCAGACCTGTGGCGCTGCTCTTTGGGGAAGACAAGAAAATGACGATCACTGAAAAGGAAACACGGAAAAAAACACGCGGGGGGTGGACTTGGCCGTGACCCACAGGCCGGGGTTCTCTTTGACGAGAACACACTCACCCGCCCACCGGTGCGCTTGTGGCCTTGACGCATTCTTCTTCTCCCCTCCACCACCACCACAAGAAGAAGAAGATATCGAGTAGTGAGCACCTTACCTCCCTCAGCGAGCGCGCGTTGCCACACAACCGGAAGAAGCCAGAAAGCAAAGGGAGAAGTTACCGACCATGGGGCAGGCCTCGTCGACACAGGGGCAGAGGGAACTGAACGGAGAGGACCTGCTGTTCCACGTGCTCGACAATGAGGCCGTGGTCACGCACCTCATCTCGAACGGCACCTACCGCCACTTCAACAGCGACGTCAGCAAGCTACGCGAGGGCGGCGCCCAAGGGCTCCGTCGCCGACGCCCACGACTACTTCCACGACCTCCCCGACGCCGACCAGGTAACGTTCTGCATACCCCCCCCCCACCACCAAACCCAACCCACGCGCTACTTACTCAGCAGCACCACCACCACCGCTGCTGCTGCTGGTCTCCACGGGGACCGCCGCAGAACTACGAGGTGGGGACGAAGAAGTGGTGGCGCAGCTACGCCGCCGCCAAGCTCAGCGGCTCCTCGGCTCCCGAGAGGTACGGCCCTCGCTGCCCGCCAAGCTGTGAATAAACAAATATTAATAATTAATCAGTTTTCGCATATTTCATCAAGCATTCTAGTGAATTAAAATAAGAAAAAAAGTAAGATAGAGAAGAGCCGGTTATGAGAAAACTAAATTGCTGCTTGTCTTCCTTGTGTTGCATTTTGTGCTGCGTGCGTGCGTGTGCGCTGTGTGCGGTCATGTGGGCAGGGCCAACCGGCTAGGGCAGCTCGTGCAAGACTTGCAGGAGCAGTCGGGGTGCACCAAGCTGCTCAAGGACATCGTCATGGAGCGCCGCATGGCCCTCCTCGAGGACGAGTTCGACAAGATCGAGGGCAAGACCGACCACGCCCAGGAGTCCAAGTTCAGCAAGCTCGACGACGTCCTGGCCAAAGTGGGGGGAGCATCGGCGTCGCTCCTGCCCACCGGCGTGCGGGTGAGCCTCACCACGGCCATCAAGGTCGTCGTCGCTCTCCTCCAGCACACCACCACCGTACGCCGCCCCGCTCCTCGCACCTCTCCGGCTGGCCCGCTCGCCTGTTCTCTGTTCGTTTTGGTCTTGGCGGTGATCTCTCATCCTCCCCATGCATCCCATCCCCATGCATCCATCCCTGCATGCGTCGATGTGCCAATAGAGCAACCCGGCGCTGTGCGTCACGATCATGGACATCTTGTCGGACGCGCTCAAGCAGCTCTACCCGCTCGCGTTGAACGAGAGCTTCATCGCCTACCTCCAGGCCACGTACACGTTTCTCCGTTTGCCAAACGTGTTTCATTTATTACCTGATTTGACGCCACATTGCGTGGGCCGCCACCCTTCTCACGACGCGCCTCAATTGCCACAACACGACACACGACACACAGTGCGGCCGGCGAATCGGACGCGCAGCTGCGGCCGCGCCAGGGTGTTCTCACGGAGGGCCTCAAGATAGTGAGCCAATTCCTGGCCTCCACGGCCACCACCTTTGCTCACAGCGAGGACCCCCTCGCCCGCACCATCTCCACCAAAGGTGGGTGTCGCCCCCCTCTCCCTTTATTAATGCCTTACGCCTTGCCGCGGCAATGCGCCGTTCTTGCCCCCTTTGATGCGAGAGCATGTTGGTAATTAATCGCTCTTTATATTTACACGCCACGCCACGTGACAAACGCGCAGCGCTGGAGGCCATCGTGAAGCTCGCCGTGGCCTCGGGGTCACTGTCCGAGTGCCTGACTGCCATCAACCTACTCCTGACCATGCAGAAGGAGGGTGCGTGGTCGCGCCCCGTCGCCTTTCGGCCCCCATTCGCTGAACGCAGGGCCTGCATGCTGTGTGTGTGTGTCGTGTGTGTGCCGTGTGTGTGCCGTGTGTGTGCCGTGTGTCGTCGTTTGTGTCGTGTGTGGCGGAGCAGGCAAGGGCGAGTCGATGCTGGCGGTGACGCAGTCGCTGGCACAGCTCCGGATGGAGTCCCTGCGCAACGACCTCGCCGAGGCGTACGTCGCTGCAGTCTCCGGGCGCACGGTCCACCAGACCACGCCCTACTGGCCCGAAGCCGACGTACGCGCCCTCTCGCCGCCCTATTAGGAGTGGAGGCTCAAACTCAACCCGATCTACATCGTCGATGATCACATGTATTCTCAACCAACCAATATATGGTCGTGGCAGGCGTGGCTCGTGGCCGAGGAGAACAAGGCGGGCCTGAAGGCGGACCAGGTGCTCGTGGTGCTGCTCAAGCACCTCGCCGAGCTCGCCTGGTTCGCGCTGGAGGCCGTGAGCCACAAGAAGTCCGCCCTGCCGCTGGTCCTCCAGTTCCCGTTCGTGCTCGACCTCAGCCGGTCCACGTTCGAGCTCCTCCACGGGCTCATGACCGCCAGCAAGGCCCAGCTCCTGGCCCACGAGGTGCGTGCCCCTAGCTTCCTCCTCTGCGATTTCCCCCTCCCCCATCCGCGCTGGTCTTCTTTCGTCGTTGTTTGTTGTCGTTGTTGTTGTTGTTGTTGGTGTTTGTGGCGGCCCTAACCTCCCCCGGGGGGGGGGTCGCGACTCATGACGCCACGCCATCGCCGTCATATGATCACCATCAGGACGCCTCTGAGGAGCGCAAGGAGTTCTTCGGCCGGCTGCTGCTCACCTGTGTTCGCCTCAGTGCGTCCCTCTCCCCTTCCCCTCCGCGAATCGCTGTCGCTAACGCCCGGGCGGATGTACTCTCGCAGCCGTGCGGAATTTGAGGGAGCTCAACTTGGGCAGGTGCGATCGCGCTCCCCACACACGGATTGGGCGGTTGGATTGGTGGGACTCGACTCGACTCGAAGCAGCGCTCACACGGGCGTGCGTGTATGATTGGGTGCGTGTGCGTGTGCGTGTGTGCGGTTTCGTCGACGCGTGAATTCCAGGATCGACCCCAGCGACGTGGGCCTGACAAACGAGGGACCCGAGTCGATGGTGAGCAGCCTGGGCGGCCTCCTGAAGGGCTTCATCCTCGACGAGTCCCCGCGCCACACCGATGAGGAGCGCCAGCAGGCCGCCCTCATCCAAGCCCTCAGCAGGTGTGCCCTCCCCTCCCTCTCCCTCCCCGCGGTGGCGGTGGTTCGTACGCGGATGCTGATGGGCGGCGGTGGCAGCGAGGCGCTGGCGGTCGGGCTGGATTACTTCGTGCCGTCGCGCAAGGGCCAGTTCGAGATCTTCATCGACGTGCTCAAGCAGACCACGTCGGACGAGGTCAAGACCTCCAGCCAGTTCCTGCTCGACCAGCTCCTCGACTACTTCTCCAGCGTGGGCACCCTCTACCGCCTCCTCCAGGTACCCCCCCCCAATACCCCCCCCCGGGGTCCCGCCCAGCATGAGCGGCGATCATCTTCTACCCGCGGGCATCTTTTCTTTTTTCCTTCTCTTCTTCCTTTGCTCTTCTTCTTCTTCTTCCTCTTCTGCTGCTCCGAATGCGAACAATGCACCACCTAAGCGCCGGTGGTGGGCAGACCAAGGAGGAGGGCAGCAAGGAGGACGTGCTGAACGACCTGCTGGCCTGCATTTTCACCTACTCCAAGCGCCAGGCCCAGAAGGCCGTCGCCGACATCATCGACGGCACCACCACCACCACCGAGCAGGAGCAGGCCCAGGCGGGCACGCAGGCTTACGTGCGGTTCCTGCTCACCCTGCAGAACTGCATCTTCTGCTCCGTCATCAACGCCCGCCAGCAGCAGCAGAAGGACGCCTCCGCCGAGGCATCCGGACTCCTCAACGAGGCCACGCTGTCGGCCTACGTCGTGCAGGCCCTGGCCCACTGCGAGGACCTCGTCGCCCACGTGTCGGGCCTCGTGCCCGCGCTGATGCCCGCGCCGCAGGGCGAGTCGGCGGCCGCGGGCCTGCCGCCGCTGGTGGGCAAGGTCGTGGGCCTGCTCCTCAACGACTCGGCCCTCGCGCTGCTGCCCGCGCTCGCCTCGTCGCTCCTGTTGCTCCTCAACTCCTCCTCCTCCAGCACGGAGGAGGGTGCGCCGCCGCTGCTGGGCGGGGAGAGCGGCGAGGCCCTGGTGCAGCAGCTGCTCGGGTTCCTGCAGCGCAGCTCCGACCTGCAGAAGCAGCTGGGCGTGGAGACCGACTCGGCACTCAACATCACCCAGAAGCGCTTCACCGTGTTCACCACCCAACACCAGTACAGGTTGGGCCACCCTCTCTCCTCGCGAAAACATGTCATATGCTGGTGCTGGTGGTGGCCACGCGCGCGATGATGAAACAAACTCATTCATCCTTTTGTTTCTTCATTCGGGGCGGGGGCGGCGGCGCGGCGGCGGGGCGTGAAGTAACGACATGGACGTGACGAAGGAGCTGATCGTGCCCGATGCCGACTACACGGAGCTCTACTTCGACCCCCAGACCAAGACCGAAGAGACGTACTGTCCACACGGCCCCAACGCAACCGCAATTCCTTCCTTTTGTCTTTTCTCAAGTCGTGGCTCAACTCGGCACAAATCGTGTGTGTGTGTGTGTGTGTGTGTGTGTGTGTGTGTGTGTGTGTGTGTGTGTGTGTGTGTGCGCGCGCGCGCGCGCGCGACAGGCACGACTACCTGCGGGTGCACCTGGAGCCCGACCACTGCAACCAGCTGGGCGAGCAGTACTCGGGGGCTTTCCACCGGTGGCCGCAGACGCCCGTGGTGATCCCCGGCGGATGTGTCTGGCTCTACTTCCACAGCGACGGGTCCAACGTCGACTGGGGCGTCCGGTATGGCTCACGCACACACGACAAGCAC